ACTGTATCTTGCAAGATCTTATGAGCATTCTTTAGATAATCTTAAAACTTTTTGCCACATCCTGCTTAGCAATTTTACCTCAGCTGCCTGTCATTCCTGTTTGATGAAGTCCGTGTTATTTCTCTGCTGTCAAGTGCTAGCTTCAAGGTAGGAAGCATAAATGTAAAACTGTTGCAGTGTTTTCCACAAAAATGATGGAAGAGGAAAGGGAAAAGAAGTATCATTGCCCTCACTATAGAAAAACCTGCCACAGACAAAGCAATGGGCAAGAGTGACAAAGGGAGGATAATTCCTCAAAGAGTCTATAAAGCTATATCCTAGAATATGCTAGCTCAAATGTGGTTTGGGGGCTTTTTTATTATTTTTTTTGTTACAAAGACCTAAAATTTCTGATGTCTACTGTACTAAAAATTTTCCATTACGTGCCTTTAAAAATTGCAGCAAATAAATTAAGGATGCATTGGCAGCTGGTGGTTCTTTACAGAACGCATGATTTTGGAATATTTTCTTAAACTGTTCCAGAGTGTAATTTCTTTAAAAGCTACATGACCTTTTGGATACTGTCATCCTACAACTCTTTAACAAAATAGATGATAAAAAATAGAACTCAGTATCAATTACCACAGAAACTAATAGATTTTAAAAGTTCATGGAAAGGCAAATAACTAATTGCTGAATTGAACAGCTCACTGAAAATTTATGCTTGGAGCATTAGCAAGAAAAGGTAGAAGCAGCAACTTGTTCCCTTTTCAGTTGTCTTTGGACTGCAACAAAAAGATGTAGAGCCTCATCAGTTCATACAGGAATCAGAGTTCCCAAGCCCAGGTTCAATTTAACATATTCAGATTTCAGAACATTAACTCCAGTATCAGGATTGCTTACCTGAAACTTAGGGGTTTAATATAACTGTTCTGGGTTTTGAGGCTACTGATAAAACTGGTAAAACTTTAACACAGATGCAACTCAAGTAACTTGAGTTGGAGAGGCACCCATCTTTGGAAATGAATAGTCTCTATTTGTTCATCACTGTGGCCGGAACAGAGAGATTTCTCTGAACAATTTTTTCTGCACTCTGTAGGCCTTGCTTGCCATGATTTTAGAAGTGACAAGCGGTGCAATGTTTATACTTATAGACTGTGTGAAAATATGTGATGTTTATACTTGTTAGCTGTGTGTCTAGTTATATGGTTTGAGAACATAATATGTTTATAGTAAGAAAGCTGTGAGAAACTAGAGATAAAGGTACACCTGCAGATTTCGGAAAGCCCCTAAAGGCAGATTAATTAGGAAGGGCTTTGTATGCCAAGAATGATTTCAGGTCGCGTGGACAGAACATCAGGTCCAATGAACTGGAGACATTAGATGCGTGCAGAGACTGAGCTATCCAATTACTTGTTGTGAGCATGTACCCTGAACAAACTAAACTGTATAAAAGTTAACTGATTTAAATAATAAATGGGACATCGATTGTTTGCTTTGTCTCTGTACCTCCCCATCAACACATCACATCAGCAATTACAGTGCAATATTAAGTCACTTCCAACAGTGCATATATATAGCATGCATTTTGGTCAATATACAAGTCAAATCATTTTTGTAATTTTAAAGGGATGTGTTTTATCTCATATGAGAGAGTGTTTCTTGGGAGCTAAAGGAATTAAAATTAGCAGTATCATTTTCAGTATTTTTAAAACACTGGAGGACACTAGTTCTAATCTCCTGAATACAAAGAAAGAGTTTATAAGTGAAGTCTGTCTTTTGATGGAAATTTGAAATGAACTACATCAGCTGGCATATTGATTTTTCTAATCTATTCTGAATAGTCAGAATATAATTTTCTATATCTTTGCATTAAATTTGTAATATTTTGTTGCATAATGATATGAGTTTTATGTCATATCGTTCAATGGTTGGTAGTCTAACCACTGCACTATAAAAGGGGTTTGCTTGCAGACACCATCTTCCAGCCTCCATTCAGTTAGCAACACTGCCTTTCAAAGACAATGATAATGTCAAGGCATTTTGATTTTGCATCTCCTCCAGCATTTTTGTTATCTTCTTGCTCTCTGGTAGATACTGGCTATGCTGATGATACTGCAGCTGAGTTGCATCACCTTGGTGTCAGGTGTGGACATATTAGATCATAAGAGAAGAGTTTTTGACATTATTCTTACAAAAATTTAATTGGACTATAGGCTCAAAAATGTTATTGGGGAGCTAGGGATCCACATTTCACAGCTGTAAGATACATATAGGGCATGTAATTCACACACTCACTTTCAGGGTTGGAACCATTAGATAATTTTTTTCAGCCAACTTGAGTGTGAAAAAGTAAAATAATTCAGATTTTCTGATTAAGACTAGTATGCTTTTTTTTTTTTTTGGTCAAAAATATCCAGGCATTTCTTTATCAGATTTATTCAGAGAAACTTACTTTGGTCCCTCAAAGAAAACAGTGACAGAATATACATATCTCCCTAGGTATCAATTATGAACTCACCACCCTAGAGTCTCTTACCAGTCAAAGGAAAGACAGTCCTGTCCTGAGGGAATTAATTTCATTATAAAATAGATGTCAAAAATAAATCATAAGAATCACTCAAGATGTTCTGCTTTAAGACATGTAAAGTTAGCAAGTGAAATCCCAACCAAAATCTACAGAGCCCAAACTTGACACACTAGTAAAGGAAATGCTTTCAGAAACGATGTAGTTTTTATAGACTTTTTCCTGCTTTCTTTCTACTTCCTTCTTTTTCAAAAAGTAGATGTGAGAAAGAGAATGCTAGTTAACACTTCTATGAGCTACACGGTATTTAATGAAACAAATTATTTTCTGTAATCCCTGGATAGAAATAAGAAGGTAATTGATACTGAAACTCAGTCAACTTGTCCAAAAATTCAAATAAATTCCTTTACCTTCTTTGTTTCTTTGGCGTCGGATGCCACAATAAGGAAGAATGTGAGTAAATGCCTCTCTCAGAGGAAAAATGTTAACATCAACAGTATGTATATGTCAATAACCATTTGTAAAGAAAGAAAATATCTCATCTAATCATAGTTCTGAGCAACAGTTTAATTTTTTCTCCTCTGTGTTCATAACATTTCTTATATTCACTTATCACATACGTTGTCAAATAACTATTTTTTTTCTGGCAACTGAAAATTTTAAAATAAAAGTATATTACAGGAAAGAGAGTCTCATTGGTTTCTTTAAATTCATAAGGGCTATGAACAAGTCGGACAGTTTTAAAAGTAGATTCATTGATAATTATTACTTTACAGGATATTTTTGTGAAAAAATAAGTACAAAGATTGGTATAATAGTTGCATAATTTACTATTTCCCTCTTAAAAACATTAGATAAATTCTTTCTGTATTTTATGGAAACTAGTGTAGAATTATAAGTGGTACTCAGACCATGTAATAACATTGCAATACCAAAATTCAAGTTTGCAAACATAAATGTTGAAAGCAACCACAATTATAGTCTTATCAAAGTGTTATCAGATAAAATTTAGGTGCCTCTGTCTATTGTTAAAAGCAAAAAAGTATACTGATTTAGGCAGCAAGAACTATTAATAGACCAGACTGAACCAAAGATGGCAAGAGAAAAAAACCCAGCCGCCTCAATTTTCAGGATACCGAGTAAGACAAGAAAGGCTCTATATAGCAACAGCATTTTAAGGATGAATAAATAGCCACAAAGTTCACTGGTTCTGCATGGAAGCTTGCAGATGGTGGATGAATTCATGTCTGTCACGTTTTCATAATACAATGACTTTTACATATTGCTGCCAGATGGAACATAGTTTTGCATTTTGATTACAAATCTCCAAGAAATACAACTTCCTTCAATATGTTCCCTGTATTTGAAACAAAAGCAAATTCACAGACAGATTTGGGAAGCTAAAGCAGATTTAAGAAAACCTGAGAGAATATAAATTAAATCCTCAAGGACTTCCTTATTATAACTTAATTCAAAATAATGGAGTTAACCATGTGTTCTGTACTTTTTAATGAAAACCTCTAAAGGTATCATACAGACTTCTACAGGGAAAACTACATGTTCACTATCAAATGCAAAATACCTCCCAGGAAAGTCCAGACAATCTTTCAACCAGTCTTAGTAGTAGTTTGGCAAAACTTTTGCATAAGACTTATTCCTGTAATACAAGTAGTTTACACATTCCTTAACCCTCTTACCCCATTCTATGCTCCCCATATCAAATCTACTCCTGAATTCAATGGCAACGTTTAGTCTCTTGTCAAGGCAAGGCCTAGGCTGTTTAGAGACCAGCCATATCAAGGCCTGAATAACAAAATGGAGTCAGGAATTAGGTGACCATGTACCCTTTGTGCTCTGAAGATGATGAAGATGGTGAAGAGGTGGTCCCAAAAAGCATCCAGACCCAATTCTCAGGGGGTGAACCCAAGGTGGTCCAGAGCAAAGGCTACAGGGTGGACACACACAGGATTGGACAGATAATAGTATAAAATATAACATCTTGGGTATAGCTGGGCAAGCGTCTTGTAACACCTCTTGCCTTGGCAAAATTAAACCCTTTCCTTATCTCACCCCTAATTAACTGCTCCAGAGTTTTTTCTTTAGCACCAGCTGAGCAGGCATCAATATAGATTTGATTTCTCAAACTATAAAAAAAGTACAGAATTTTTTCCTTTATATGTGTTCACCCATCACACCTAGCTTTCTCCTGTGTGTCTGGTCTTTGTTTCTAATCCTAGATGGTACTGCTAAGAAGTGAATAACTCTGATAGCAATGGAGTGAACTATGTGACCGTAGGGAAGAATATTTTCCCATTCAATGATTTCTCACAATGATTTCTCTCTGATTTGATGACAAACTTGAGTTGACTTCTCTCAGACAGCCTCAAGCATTGTTTATATGCAGATAATTCTCTGTGTGAACCCATTAGGCTTTTATGACAGTAATAATCAAATATGATTGGAAACCTTGTGGCTTACTTGGATCCATACTTACATTGTGCTTTGTGAGGTTGGAAATGTTACTTGCTATTGCTTGTAGCCAGTCAATAGAGTCTTCAGCAGAGAGACACTGAATTATTCCACTGCAAACCCCATCCACAGCAATTACTTGGAATGCATTTTGCCTATAGACACATCATAACAGATCAGGTCAGAAGAAAATTTCATCTGTTCTAGCATATCATCTTAACAATACTTGTAGAAATGCTTTTCTTTCAACTACAATGAAGGTCAGCCACTGAACACTGATATAATGCTGGTTTTCCTGTTTTAAAAATACCTGACATATTAAAAGATCATGCTAAAAGGTCAATTCAGACTATATTAAGCTTCCACAAGACTATAAAAGAATTCCAGAGATTAGCTCCACAGAACTTTGACCAATAGACTGTATGACTTCAGAAGCTAAACGAGCGAAAAATGTGATGCATACCAAAGACTTAATACTTTAATACAGCAGATCAAAAAGAAGGAAAGTGTGCACTGGAAACCGTAGACCACCATTTGTGAAAATCAGTGGATGCCAGTACATTTGTCTCAACATCTTTGTTTCATTTTTCTAATACATACTTTAAAGACAGTAAGATTCGTGTCTGGACATCTTGTTGGCTGTTCTCATTTATAGAATTTTAATCCTTTTCTAAACTACTGATTGAGAAGTTGGACTCAAAATTGATCAGGTAGCATTAATGATTTTTCCAGTTGCATTTCTGAATCAAGGATCATTACCAAAACACACTAGAATGTCAAGAGACATCTAATGACAAAAGCAGTATACACCTGGGTGCCTCTAACCCAGCACCAATCTGGGCACTTATACAATACCTGACATGTTTTATACACTGACTTTCCGCTGCCAGGCACTGAGCAATTACAGAACAAGAGAAATTTTTCAGATGCAGTAGCAGACCCAATTTCTTCAGTAAATAGCCTTCTTGGCTAAAAGCCCTTGGAAGGCTCACAGGCCTCTGGCTTCAGAACCAAAAAAACCTCAGTATTAATCCATATCCCACGAAAAGAGATTACTGAACATACAGAGAATACCAAGTTCCACTGCTGACATTCTGTAACAAACCCAAGTGTTGATGGTCAATTCATGGTTTAAGATTAAGTACATCATTCAGATTCTCTGAGAATGGCTCAAGCAAAGTATGTGTTATCTTCAAGGTAAAACTGAGTGTCACTGATGAAAGTTTCTGACATCTGAAGACATATCAAAGTTGTTTGTTTGGAGTTTTTTACCTCTTGAAATTTTATTCTAGTAGTATAGAATGTGAGGCTAATATCTGTCTCTACCATAATGGTCTTTGCTGCATCTGTGTCAAGTACAGGCTTTTCCTTCAGTCAGGAGAAGCAATAAAAATGAACTAGAGTATGCCTTTGCTTTGAGAGTTCCATCATGAGAACCAGCTTTTACAGGGGTATAAGGCTGATAAATCCTAACACAATCATGCAGGAATCCACTAACTTATCAGTTTAGTTGTCTTTTCACACGAGTAGTGATTTTTGTTTAAATGCCCAAATATACCGGTGAAGTTTTAAGGAAGATTTATTTAAAGAACCTTCAAGTAATGTTGCTATCATTTATTTATTCTATCCTTTATTTTAATTAGCTAGAAATATATATATTTATTTTTTCCAGAATAAATTTCTAAGTCCTTACATGAAGAGCATAGCATAATGCACAAAATTGATCATCTCATTCATGAAAAGTAGTGTTAGTTTCAGGACTCACCTTGTTCTCGATGTATTGTAAATCAAAGCAGAAATCCAAGGAGTCTATTAATGTGTGACACGAACACAAGCACAGAAAACCCAGTATGTTCCAGATTCAGTCCTGATGCACAAATTTCCTTTACACTACAGACACTGAACCTGATGTATTCAAGGCATCAGTCTGTTCCTACTGTTGCTAGGAATTTGATCTGTGCAGATATAAACCCACTAATCCATAATATTCTTACCCAAGTATCAATAAGCACAGACAGTAAGATACATGGTTACCTAATAAATTACTTCTGAATGGGTCTTGGGAGTAGATATCATTAGCCTTAAATTATTGCAATAGTATATTTTGAATGACTCTACCAGCCCAAGTCCATAATACTATGCATGCAAACCTGCAAATATACTGTATTAAATATGCTTTGTACTAAATGGAAAAAAAACAGTAGATTAATCACTTTATAATACACGCACACACACAAAAAAGTGGAGATCAGATGAAGACTTTTTCAACTTTCCCAAATTTTTACATATTTCAGGTTCTGTGCCTTCTGGAACTCAAAAGTTATATTTGAAATGAATAAGCTTTCCAATTTTTAACCTGAATGTCTTTTAGAATTCTGTATGAATACCCTCCAGAATTCACATGTCTCAAGCATCCCACTGGAAAAGCTAGAATATGATTATGAGGTTCAATATTATATGTGATAATGATACATTTCCATGCCAGCCTTTTCAAACTCTGAAATATAAAAAGCCTTACATAGTGAAAACAGCTTTGTAAATACTAACTACGAAATATGTAATGAATTAGCTTCCAGTTCATGTTGCTTCCTTATATTATTGTCAATATCCTTACTTTAATGTCACTGTTTACAGCAGCATCTTTTAAAAAGTATTATCTTTCTCTTATAACCAATTCTGAGAGGTAGTCACATTTAAAAATGCTTACAGGAATTTAAAACAGTCTTGTAAACTGTCTTGCTAGCAAAATACAGTGTTGGTTCTATGCTTTAAGAAAAATGTACTTCCTCTCTCATATTTATCCTGCATTTTTGTTTAAGTACTCTTACTTCCTAACGTTAGACAGCACAGAAAGACAGAAGGAGAAAATTATCAGAGTAGTTATCCAAGGTTTGAGTATGAGTTCAGGTATAATGTTTTGTATTAATACACTTTTAAATTTATTTTCCAGAAATTTAAATTTCAGGAATATCATTACTACTTAAGAAACTTTCTCTGCAATGTACAAGTTCTATTATGTGCACTTTAAGCTTGTGTTTTATTGATGCAGAAGACTGAATTTTAAAACCTTTGATCTATGAACAGCTGAATATGTGCTAATTTTCCACGTGAGTAATTCTATTCAATTCAATATCTTATCTGAAGTATACAGTAGAATGGATCTCAGATTTGACTATTATGATTTTGGGCCCTTTGTGCTTCATTGTTAAACACCGAGCTGAAGGCTTTCACAGAATTTAATGAAAACCGTGCTTCCTCTGTGATAACTATATTCTGTTCCATTTTAGTTCAGCCAATAAGCCATTGTAGTTTTCAGTTTACACCTTGACTCCCCGGGCCAGCCATTGTTCCTCAATAGAACAAGGATCATGCAGACAAGTAAATATGATTCTGCTTTTACCAGTCAAAAGCTGCAGGTTGTTTTTAGCTTCACAAGGATCTACTGGTGAAACATATACTGCCTAACCTGCTTTAATTTCAGCTCTGTGAACAGAAAGAATGGCCGTCAGACCTAAGCAGTGTAATTCTAAGAAACAAAGCCCTTAGAAATGAGGTGGTGAGAGGCTTTTGTGCAACTTTCAAGTGTTTATTAAGTATCCACAAGAAGGAAGCAGGCTGTGATAAGAAACCCCACACAAACAGATGTTGAAGGCTTCTCTTCCCACAGTTTCTAGGGGGGCTCATAAATCCACTCCTGTTGGTAGATGGTGACAGTTATAGAATCATAGAATCATAGAATTGATTGGGTTGGAAAAGACCTCCGAGATCATTGAGTCCAACCCTTGGTCCAAATCCAGTCCATTTACTAGATCATGGCACTCAGTGCCACGTCCAATCTGCATTTAAAAATCTCCAGGGACGGTGAATCCACCACCTCTCTGGGCAGCCCATTCCAATGCCTGATTACTCTCTCTGTAAAGAATTTTCTCCTGATATCCAACTTAAATTTCCCCTGGCAGAGCTTAAACCCGTGCCCCCTTGTCCTATTGCTGAGTGCCTGAGAGAAGAGACCAACCCCCACCTGGCTAGAACTTCCCTTCAGGTAGGTATAGACGGTGATGAGGTCACCTCTGAGCCTCCTCTTCTCCAGGCTAAACAACCCCAGCTCCCTCAGCCTCTCCCCATAGGACTTGTGCTCCAGTCCCTTCACCAGCCTTGTTGCTCTTCTCTGGACCCGCTCCAGCACCTCAATATCCTTTCTGAACTGAGGGGCCCAGAACTGAACACAATACTCAAGGTGTGGCCTCACCAATGCAGAGTACAGGGGAAGGATCACTTCCCTGGTCCTGCTGGCCACGCTATTTTTGATACAGGACAAGATCCTATTGGCCTTCTTGGGCACCTGGGCACACTGATGCCAGTGTTGAGCTTCCTGTCAATTAGTACCCCCAGGTCCCTTTCTGCCTGGCTGCTTTCCAGCCACTCTGTGCCCAGCCTGTAGCGCTGCATGGGGTTGTTGTGGCCAAAGTGCAGGACCCGGCACTTGGCTTTATTGAACTTCATCCCATTGGAATCAACCCATCTCTCAAGTCTATCCAGATCCCTCTGCAGAGCCCTCCTGCCTTCCAGCAGGTCGACACTCCCTCACAATTTGGTGTCATCAGCAAATTTGCTGATGATGGACTCAATCCCCTCATCTAAATCATCAATAAAGATGTTAAACAGGACTGGACCCAACACAGACCCCTGGGTAACACCACTAGTGACTGGCCGCCAGCTGGATGCAGCTCCATTCACCAGCACTCTCTGGGCCCGACCCTCCAGCCAACTCCTAATCCAGGAGAGGATGCACTTGTCCAAGCCATGGGCTACCAGCTTTTCCAGGAGTATATTATGGGAGACAGTGTCAAAAGCCTTGCTGAAGTCTAGATAGACCACATCCACAGCCTTCCCCTCATCCACCAGGTGGGTCACCTGATAGTAAAAAGAGATCAGGTTGGTCAGACAGGACCTGCCCCTCCTAAACCCATGCTGGCTGGGTCTAATCCCTTGTCTATCCTGAAGGTGCTGTGTGATTTCACTCAGGGTGATCTGCTCCATAACCCTGCCAGGCACCGAGGTCAGGCTGACAGGTCTGTAGTTACCAGGGTCCTGCTTGCAGCCTTTTTTGTGGATTGGGGTGACATTCGCCAACCTCCAATCATCTGGGACCTTCCCAGAGAGTCAGGACTGTTGGAAGATGATGGAGAGCGGTTTGGCAAGCTCTTCTGCCAGTTCCCTCATCACCCTGGGATGGATCCCGTCTGGTCCCATAGACTTGTTAGGATCCAGCTGGCTCAGTAAGTCGCTTACTACATCCTCCTGGAATACAGGAGGGCTATTCAGCTCTCTGTCTCTGTCTATCTGCTCTAGAGGCCAGTTGTCCTGAGGGTCACCTGTCTTACTGCTAAAAACTGAGGCAAAGTAGGTGTTAAGTACCTCAGCCTTCTCCTCATCTTTGTTAACTATATTTCCCTCCAAGTCCAACAGAGAATTGAGGTTTTCCTTGCCCCTCCTTTTGCTATTAATGTATTTATAAAAGGACTTTTTGTTATCTCTAACTGAATTAGCCAAATTAACTTCAAATTCCACTTTTCTTTCCCTAATTTTTTTTCTGCATGACCTAGCTCTCTTCGTAAATTCTTCATAAGTAGCCAGCCCTTTCTTCCACAGTCTGTAAACTTTCTTTTTATCCCTGATTTCTTTCAGAACCTCCCTATTTAACCAAGCCGACCGCCTTCCCCTCCGGCTGGCCTTTCGGCACACTGGTATAGCCTGTTCCTGTGCACTCAAAATTGCCTGCTTGAAGCATGTCCATCCCTCCTGGACCCCCTTGCCTTTAAGGGTTGTTTCCCAGGGTATGCCCTGAATTAGTTTTTTGAATAGGCCAAAATCTGCCCTCTGGAAATCCAGAGTAGAGGTTTTAATGATGGCTCTCCTTACATCCCTGAGGATTGAAAATTCTGTAGGACTGTAGGATCAGTTGACTGTAGGATCCATAGAAACACTGGAAGGGTGAGTGTAACAACAGAGAAAAGATACTGGGAAGGTTTTTCACAAAACAGCCTTTGCAGAAAAATTAACATAACTTTTCTGCATTAATTTCTTAATTTTACACGTTTGAATGGAGGAACAGGAAAATTGAAACTGCTAATGTTTGATGTGCCATCAGGATACAGCATAGCACACTATTCTTCCCAGACTCACATATCCAAGATGGCAGACATGAAGACTATACAGGAAAGACAGTTTATTTCAATTAGTAAGACCTCAGAGCCACAAATGATAAATCGTTTGTGCTAATCTTAAGAGTTGTTATTTCTGATTGATAAGAAAAAGGAGTTACAGAGACACATGCTCCGTACCTGTACACAGCTGTCCTCCAGTTAATGACTTAGCACTGGAGCTCACAGAATATTTCAGTATGAGAACCTCATTCTTATAAATACAGAAGACGAATGAATTCATAAAATATCTAGGTATTTAAAACTTTTAACAAACATGATCTTATTTATACACTTGCCTTATTGGATTTTGTAGCTACTTTCATTTCTATTTCATTGCATTATACTTGTAAAACAGTAATCATTCCAGAATATTGGTTGTCTTCCTTCCTAATTTCTCCTGATTTACTAGGATAATACTAAATTAAACAATGAAAAATTGTAAGTCTATAGGACTGTATTGCATCTGGTGGAGATGAATTTAATCTTCCTCACAGCAGCCCTCATAGTGCTGTGCTTTGTATTGGCAGCTAGAAAGGTATTGATTACACACCAGTGTGTTGGCTACTGTTGAGCAGTGGTATCAGCACTGCCTCTCCAACATTCCCTCCTCATCAGTAGGCTGGGGATACAAGGTTGTGGGAGGGAAAATAGCCAGGACAGCTGACCCAAACTGACCAAAGGGATATTCCATAACATATGACATCTGCTCAGCAATGAAAGCTACAAAAAAGGAAGAGGAATAAGGGCATTCTTTAATTATGACACTTGTCTTCCACAGCAACTGCTACAAGCACCAAAGCCCTACTTCTCAGGAACTGGCTGAACATTGCCTGCTAATGGGAAGCAGAGAATAAATGTTTTGCTTTCTTTGCTTCCACATGTGGCCTTTGCTTTATTAAATGGCCTTTATCTTGACTCATGAGGGTTTTTTCCATCTTGCCTTCTCCCCCCCTTATTCTGCTGAGGAGGGCAGTGATAGAGAAGCTTGGTTGACACTTGGTATCCAGCCACAGTCAACCCACCACGATGATGCCATTAATTTAAACCTAACTATGAACTTTGGACAACTTTCCCAGTGATTGTCAGAGAGAATGGCAACGAAATTAAATATTAACACACGCAAAGTACAACATACAGGAAAAAATAACTTTAGCTATATGGAAACAAAAAAACTCCCTACTGTAGCTATAAAAATGAAGGAGAGAATACAAGAGCTACTACAAACATTTATCTAAATACCATCACCTTAGTGCTCAGTGACAGTTACAAAGTAATAGGTTATTACAAAGTGTGAGATAAGAACTGACAAAAAAAATATAGAACATCATTATGCCTTAACGTAAATCAGGGGGTATCCTCCTTGCAGTCCTGATCACCTTGCCATTTAGGTGATATATTAGCATGATGAAAGAAACAGAGAATAACAGAGATAGTTAGAGGTACGGAAGAGTTTCCCAAAAGGAGATAACAGTTTGTCAGAGACTCAAATGTTTAATGATTTATGCATTCCAGGAGTTTGCAGGCTTTGACTTTTGCATTATACCTCAGATGGGCAATTGGGCCCACCCCTGCCTCCAGTGCTAAGCCTTAAAAAGGCAAACAACTCCTCGTCCCAGGGAGGTGCAAAAGCATGCTGAGGGTATACAAACTGACTGGTGACTTTGGGATTTTGGGGGTTCTCCTTCTCCCCCACCGCCTGCGAATCAAGACCATCGCTCTCAAGCATCGCTGGATCCAGTGGGCAGTGACTATATCCTTTTCTTTTGCACTCACAGCTTCTCTTTTCCCTTACTCTCATCCTGTTTTTTCTCTGCCCTAAGCAGTTTCCCCCCCACCAAAGGTTATCTCTATGTTGCATTTTTGTATGACAACACCCAAAACGCTAGCATACCTGTTGATACAAAATTGTTAAAATAAACTTTGTTTTCAGACACCAATTATTTAGTGTCATTTCACTTTAATCCACCCCAAGGGAATTATTGATAAAAACCTGAGTTACTCCCCCTCTCCTTTTCCTGGGGCGGGTCGTAACACAGCTGTGATCCTTTAGGTTGGAAAACAGAAGACAGTCAGATGAAGTTACAAAAACATAAATCAAGATATTTCGTATTTCCCTCAATACAAGGGTCAGGGCCCACAGTCCACCCTCTTGCCCCCCACAGCAGACTGGTGGCCTGTGCTTGAGGCCAGCTGTGCCATGGTGAGTTTGTGGGATGTGGGATCAAGCTAGTGTGGAAGAGCTTGAGTGGGAGGCCTGTCCACCCCTACACTTGGGAGCTGCTTATCTTCTCAGGCTCTTGTTTGTGGTCCTCATCTGAGTATGGCTCCACCCATTCCTGTGCCTGGACATGTAACCCACTGATTTGGACCTGATCTGTGGTCTGACTTCCCAGCCTGACTGGAGCCCCACCTGACCATGATGGACTTCTCTGAAGACCATCCCTAAGCCCCCAGTGGGGGCAGTGGGTTGGGGTCCTTGTCTGCATGGACAGTGCTATATCCAGCCTCACTGCCGCACTCTCTCTTGGCTCATCTTCCCTATGGGGCAGCCAGCCCTTGCTGCCCCCAAACAAGATTATTTCACCCAATATAGTCATCAGATGAGATACGTAACACAAATAGAAGGAAGTAGATTTTAGAAACATAATTACATTGTAGACCTCAATGACATAATGCATTGCAAAAATTAAAGACACAAAGAAAAGCAGATTAGAAAGAAGCTTTTGAGGACAGGCACATTAGCAGTTATTAAATATGATGACCTATGTCCAATCTCAAACTCTGAAAGGTGCAGACCATTAGGTGCAAGTAAGAAGACCACACATCTCCCCATATACTTAGTCCCGGCTGACATTAGAGCAGAAGATTAGCCGAGGTGGACCTTGACAGATCTTTATGATAGTTCCTGTTTCACGTCTCTAGCAGCTGCAGTGGAACTAATAAAGGCATTTCTCTAACAAGACAACTCCCTGATGCATGTATCTGTCAACCAAGAAGTCAAGTTCCAACCTTCTGAACTTATTTACCTGCACAAATCTGATCCCGGAAGGTACTGGGAAAATCGTGAATGTAGAAGAGGAATTAATCGAAGATCACACCACCTTTTTTCCCACCTAAGTCCTGGGGATGCTGGCCATGAGGAACATGATAATGTATCCTGAAAAACATTGAAAAATCCTTCTCAGTTTTGGACTTCATTATAAATACTCAGCAGATTTGGAAAAAAAGAGATAGACTTCAAAGACATTATATTTCATTTGGCATTGTTCCATTTTTTCCAAATCACTTGGTGGCAGAACTTTTTCTCCTAAATAAAAAGAAATCTATTTAAACCTCAACAATAACATGCTTACAGGAAGTGTGAGGAAAAGTATTCTAAAAACCTGAGGAAAACAGACTGTATCCTTTTTTTGATCTGACTGGTTATTTACCAAGTAACCCATCATTAGATAGTAGTTTTATATCTGCAGCCTAAATAAAGGGGATCTCTAAATTATTCGCCATACAACCATAATTCAGTTGTTCCCCACGGCCCTGTACACATAAGACATCACCTCAAAACCTGGTAATTGTAAATGGGATTTAACATGAGTTGAAAATTGTCAAAATTGTCACAGCTACAAGTTTGTGATTAATATTTGAATTTTATCTACTTACACAAGACATTGCTTATATAAAAACTGAACTTTATCATGTCTATGAACATATCTACAAAGAATGAGTGTTTAAATACCTATAGTCTAATTTCACAAGTATTTTTACAGAGTAGGGATTTGCATGAGAAATGCCTATAAAAAGCGAAATTATCAACACCTATTTTTAAAAATACAAAACCTCTTTCTTTATAAAATGTTTTATAAAATAACACTATTGATGTTATTGTTTTGGAAAAGTATGATTCTTCAAAGTATCTTCTCATAGTGACAAAGGATGAGGAAAAGGCTGAGGTATTTGATGCCTTCTTTACCACAGTCTTTAATAGTAAGACCAGTCATTCGCCTGCTACCAAATCCCTGAGCTGGAAGGCAGGGATGGGGATCAGAGTGGAGCTGGTATAGGTGTTCATTGAGTCACTTTCCATCATTTACCAGCAGCCTGGCTAAGCAGAGAGGTCCCGGCTGACTGGGGGTTGGCAAATGTGATGTTGATCTACAAGAAGGGCCAGGAGGCGAATCTGGGGAACTACAGGCCTGTCAGTCTGCCCTTGGTTCCAGGAAAGGTCATGGAGCAGATCATCTCGTGAGCCATCGCATGACAGATGCAAGACAATCAGGGGATCAGGTCCATACATCATGGGTTTATAAAAGGCAGGTCCTGCTTGATCGACCTGATCTCCTTTTATGGCCAAGTGACCTGCCAAGTGGATGGCTGTCAAACTGGATTTTAGTAAAGCTTTTGGTACTGCCTCCCACAGCATTCTGCTGAAGAAACTGGTTGCTTATGGCTTGGATGGGTGCAAAGTTCGCTGGGTAAAAAACTGGATGGATGGCTGGGCCCAGAGAGTAGTGATGATAAATCCAGCTGGTGGCCAGTCACGAGTGGTGTTCCCCAGTGCTTAGTATTTGGGCTAGTTCTGTTTAACTTTTTTATCAGTGATCTGGAAGAGGGGATTGAGTGCACTTTCAGTCAGTTTGCAGAAAATTGGACAGGATTGTCGATCTTCTGGAGAGCAGGAATGTTCTGCAAAGGGATCTGGACCAATGCCAATGGCATGAGGTTCAACGAGGTGAAGTGCCAGGTCTGCAGCTGGGTCACAACCACCGCAGGCAGTGCTGCAGGCTGGGGGAAGAATGGCTGGAAAGCTGCCCAGCAGAAAAGGATCTGGGGGTGTTGGTCGACAGCTGTCTGAACATGAGCCAGCAGTGTGCCCAGGTGGCTAAGAAAGTCAATGCCATCCTGGCTTGGATCTGGAATAGTGTGTCCAGCAGGACTACAGCAGTGATCATTTCCCTGTACTCAGCAGTGGTGAGGCCACACCTTGAATACTGTGTTCAGTTTTTAGTCTCTCACTACAAAAAAGACATTGAGGTGCTGGAGCATGTTCAGAGAAGGGCAACGGAGCTGGCGAAGGGTCTGGAGCACAAGCCTGATAAAGATTGGCTGAAGGAGATGTGGTTGTTTTACCTGGAGAGAAGGAGGTTCTGGGGGGACCTTATTGCTCTCTACAACTACCTTAAAGAAGGTTGTAGCAAGGTGGAGGTCAGTCTTTTCTGCTAGGTAATAAGTGATAGCATATCAGTAAAATTGTACCTGCCAATCCTGCATAATTTACAATTTTTTTAATCTCAGACTCCAAATATTTTATTACTGGTGTTGTCTATAAAATAAATATTACAAAAATTAAATACATCTATTTTTCTAGAGTGTGACTTTTGTGTAAGATATATGGAATTATAAGGTTTTGCGAATTTGAACTTTACTTTTACATATATGTTTATATATGTTTTATGTATATGAAACCAAATATCACTATGAATATCATGTTAGCTGCATGGCAGACTTTTCATAAGCAGTTCATTTATTTAAAACATAGACTCAATAAAAATAAATAAATGACTGGCTAGGAAGACTAAGCTAGGATGCTGTTTTGAACAGTATCTTGAATTTTTAATGTTTTCTGTCTGTGTTTGGGAACCTTTCTTCACCTGTGATTAAGCTTGGGGAAAAAACTGAAATGCAGTAAAAGTTCAGATACAAACTGTAGGCCTAGATATGACTGCAGCAGAAATGTTAACCCTATCTTTAGCCTGCATAACTAATAAGGAAACAGACTATGGTTGTAAGTCACAGAATCACAGAATTTCTGAGTTGGAAGGGACCCACTAGGATCATCAAAGTCCAGCTCCTGGCCCTGCACAGGACAGCCTCAACAAACCGATCATGTGCTTAAGAACATTGTCCAAATGTTTCTCGAACTCTGTCAGCCTTCGTGCTGTGACCACTTCTCTGGGGAGCCTGTTCCAGTGACCAAACAATGTCTGGGTGAAGAACCTTTTTCTAATATCTAACCTAAATCTGACACAACTTCAGGCCATTCCCTTGGGTCCTGTCACTGGTCACCAGAAAATTAAAAGATCAGTGCCTGCCCTTTTCTATCCCTCATGAGGAAGTTGTAGATTGCAATGAGGTCTCCCCTCAGTCTCCTCTTCTCCAGGTTGAACAGACCAAGTGACCTCAGCTGCTCCTCATACGTCTTCCCCTCAAGGCTCTTCACCATCTTCGCAGCTCTCCTTTGGATGTTCTCTAATAACTTTAGATCTTTGTTATACTGAGATGCCTCAAAATTGCACCCATATTCAAGAAGAGGTTTCACCAGTGCAGAGCTGAGTGGGACAATCACCTCCCTCGACCAGCTGGCAACGCTTTGCCTGATGCCCCCCAGGACATGGTTGGCCCTCCTGGTTGCCAAGGCATTGCTGACTCATATTCAACTTGCCATCGACCAGGACACCCAGGTCCATTTCCATGGCACGGCTGTCCAGCATCTCGTTTCCCAGTCTATCTATATTTAGGGTTTCCTCCCCCTAGGTGCAGAATCCAGGTCTTTCCCTTTTAAAACTTCATATGATTGGTGATTGCCCAGTCTTCTAATTTGTCCAAGTCTCTCTGCAGGGCCTCTCTGCCTTCAAGGGAGTCAACAGCTCCTCCCAGTTTTGTATTGACTGTAAACTTGGTTAGTATCCCTTCCAGTACTTTATCCAAGTCATTTATGATGATGTTGAAATGCACTGGGCCTAAGGTGGAGCCCTGCATAACCTTATTAATGACAGGTCACCAGCCTGATGTTACCCCATTCACTATAACTCATGAGCCAGTTGCTCACCCATCATATAATGTGTATATTCAATGGTTATAATGCCTTTTATAGAATATTTTCAGGAAAAGGAGGAACTATGGCATAGGAGTTGTACAGAATTTAGTTCTCCTTTGGTTTTACAAAGCATTCTGTTCCCATGACAAGAAGACATCTGAGATAAGAACCACATCCTGGTCTTCAGTACAAAAATTTAATTTAGGGTGAATTACAGATTATAGATTCATGATATTTGATTATATTATTTGAACTGAAAGAGAAAGATTTGGTTTCAATAAATTATTATCAGTTCAAATAGAAACTGCAGCTAATCTAGGTCAGTTTTGACACCTGTAGAAAGAGAACTCAGAAATGAAATTATGTTTTTTATGAGAAAAGCAAAGTTAGAATTGAAGTGGCTAGCAGAATAAATCAGTTTAGTATCTGCTGTCATAGCCTTTTTATATATATACATACCTATATAGATTGTTGAGACAAATCTGCTTTTGTTGTTGCTGCATTAGTTACATATATTTTTACTGTTATTTGACATCAATTTTATTGGTGTTATCTTATTTTTATATATTCCAGCTCCTAAAACTTGTATAATTCCTAGGGGCTTCCCATATTACAGTCAGGTTTAAACCTGTGGTATTAATCTTTAAAAGTCTGGGCTGCTATTTAAAACCCTTAACAGTAAATTATGAAAGTACAGTAAAACAAGCCAGAAATCAAAAATTCCAAAGTCTACTCAACAAAGCTTACAGTTTTTATTAATAATTATGATGAATACTGGTCTATTTATACTGTGCTTTTTATATTTTTATCTACTACAAAGCCAAATACTCAGAAAAAAACCCTTAAGAACTATATAGAATAATGGAAATTTTTAATTTTTTGGCTAAGAAAATTGTTAAAAGTCCCTTGTTGCACTTCATAGGCATCTTTTAGTAAAAATCTGATTGGGCATCTAGAGCATTTTATCCTAGACACACTTTACTCCATAACCCTATCACTCTTCAGTAAGATTTTAAGTGTATATTACTAGAAGTAAAACACTCTCACCTTAAAAATAGGTTCCTAAATCATCTTTTGCCAAAAACTTTAAATAATGTATGCAATATAAGTAATGGAAAAATATTATGAAAAAGTTTTCTTCCTTTTTTATAAATAGATATGTTGTCATTTTAAGAATTTTAATTCATATGCGGAGAAAATCATCTAGAAGAAAAACCTTTTGCGAAATCCCTACTGCCCCCGTATAAATAGTAATCACATCTATCAAGGCACAATCTCAGCCTGTAATAATTTGTCTTAATTTAATTCCCAACCATAATATCTGGCAGCTCTTTTTTCCCCTCTATGGAACTGTCTATCTCCAATGCTAATTAGAGCTCCTCCCATGTTGCTGTCCTTTATTAGTATTTCCACTTTGCTGTTACAGCATAATTATTCTTCCATGTAATTTCATCAAGGAAATATAAGCATTTACCGTGTTGTTGGGGTGGTAGTTGAGATGCAAACCACTGTCACATAGCGGAGAGGATGTGCCACTGCTTTGGTCACTGGGGGCACCTAATAGAAATATGAATTCACAAAAAAATCTTCATTAATCTATGATGCTGTAATTCAAATTTGTGTATGCATGTATGCATTCTCCCCATCCCATCCTCTCCCTCTTCCCCCCCCCCCCCAAATGACTTTTATCATATATAACATTCATTTACTTTCTCCATCAGTCAGCATCTACCTTCTGGCTTGAGTTAAATTCCTTTGAAAGCTGAATGGAGGCACAAGAAAGCCTCCTGGTGTGCTTTGCTTAAAAAAAATGAATAGTCTGTTTAGCAAGGAAAAAAAAAAAAAGCAAAGGTTTTTGCAAATTTGACAATAAAAGGGAAGTGCATATTTTCTCTCTCTTTGCTTTTACTTGAAGAAACTTGAGTAACTTTGTTACTCTCAGTGGAGTTTGCAGTTCTAAATGTTCTTGTAACAGTTCAGGAGATCGCAGGGCTACACCTCAAAAGTAATGTGATAGGATCCATGCAATTGCAGATTCCTGTGCCTCACTCAGGATGCTCTGTGGTACCCTTTCATACAATGGAATACATTTTTAGTTAAGAATACAGTTTTGATATGTTTCTTGTCTCACTAAAATTTAACACATAGGAAAAAGAAAAAGACAATACTTCCTTTGTACAAAATGCTATTTCATAATTTAGTTTATTTAATTCCTACTAACTTAAAATCAAAGGCTAAAAGTATTGAAATCAAAAATTTGGTGTTTTGTTGCTTAAAAATTAAGCAATTCCTTTTACCCTCTTGGGAGAAAGAAGCAGAAGGAAAGCAATGGTGACAAAAGACACAGGTTGACATATAAATATGCTTAGTATGCTGCGACTGTCTATAATTATGCATCTACACTTACAATTTAATATAATTACAGGGAGACAGCTGTCTCCATATCTCTCTCATGGGGCTAGTTGACTAAAACTCGGTTGGACTTAAACAAAATACTTATCATCCCAGAGTAATTTATTCTTAGGTAGACAGACACCTCCACCAAAGCCTCTGAATTTTAAACAGCAAAGTTAAGCCCTCTAAATATACACACACATCACATGTTCACATTTGCAAGAAAAAAGTCTTTGAGATTAAAATACTATCTGATGCTTTCTGAAAACCTGATTTTAAATACTCCGCATCAGGATGTGAGCTACTGCAAACTAAAATAACTCTACGTTTTACCTTCAACTTTGCTGATTCACACCATGCAAATGCCTGGTTTTCTGTTTTTCAATCAAAGATAGCAATTTTTTGCTTGAAGTGAATGTTAACAAAAGCCCTAGCAATAGAAGCATCTTATATTCAGGCAGTAATGCTGATTGTAAAAGATGGTGTCAATCACCCTCAATGTACAGTAGTTTCAGAAGCTGCAAGCGTTCATAAGCATTGAACTGAGTTCTTTTTGGCCAAGTAATAAAGGCTTACATGCACAATCTTCATTCAGTGGCAGTTTGAGAAATGCAGGTGCTCTTTTCAGAAAGGACACAGTTAGGGTCACTTCTTCCCCCGCATTGCGAAGGACCTGAACCTGGAAGAGAAATAGACAGATACCTTGAAATAAATCTATGACCAAAATGCATCAGCAAATGTAAGCACTGCCACACAGCTTTCACATACCAGAATTTAACTTCTTAGTAAAGAAAGCAAGACATAAAGCTTTCTAAATGTTTCTCTGTTGTTTTTCTAGCCACACAGGTAGTTAATGGGGCAAAAGGGGCATTGGCCTCCTATATTAGCACTTTGACCTGTACCATTATACAACTTGTTCTCTGACACTATTCAGCTGTGTACCTCCTTGTAGGTCATCCAGTCTAGTATGTATGCATTAAAAAAAAAAAAATTTTTCTCCCTGCAAAGTTGCCTTATAAATCCTCAACCAAAAGAACAGCAGTAGTTTCCACAGCTGTTACCGTAAGTCTTACTTACTATTATGAGTCTTTCTAATAGCCAGAGTTAAATTTAGCTGAAGAGCTCCAGCATGGATGAGATCTAATCTTCCTCACAGACACAGAGGAAAAGTATCTATTTTAAGCCTTGAATCTCAGATAAGCACAAGTTTGGGTTTTGCCAAAGGGCAGCTTGCATGTTGGACATAGGAATGTGCAAATCACCTGTCCAGCTGTGAATACTTTTAGCTTTCCTGCACTTTCCCACAGTTACCCCTTTGGCTCTTGTTCATGCCTTTAGCTTCTGTGTGGTACAGCTGATAGACACCCCAAACATACAGCAGACCAAGGGAACTCCAGGCACATCCCCAGAGTGGCACAAAGGAGGCACAAAAGCAACTAAGCAAAATCCTGTATTTAACAGTGGAGGAGGAACATTTGAATCAGCTTATAATATGAGAGGCAAGAATCATTGAGTCGCACAGTTCTGTTTCAGAAAAGAACCATTTCCTGTTCTGGCTCTATAACTTCAAAACCCTTCAAGGGTTGATTTAATTTGGGCTTACAATGACAGAAGGTTGTACCACGCCTCTCTGTGCAGAGAGCTAGATCATTGCAGTCGTGTTCAGAGGGCTGCTACGCAGCCAGATATTAGACAAACATTTTAAACTAGCACATATCTACTCCCTTGCTGCGGTGTAGCTGGATAACACACAGATAACCCTTCTGTCAAGCTGCTGCTTGTGCGAAAGCCTTGTAAATAATTTATGAAGGATTGCTATTCTTTAATTATGTCTATCAACAACCTACCCTACAGATTTAGTTACATGCATGCATAGGAATGTTTTCACCTAGAATCGCTGCATTATGTTGTTAACTTAATTCTTAAAAAAAATGTTGACTTTGCCTTGAAATACAATACTTCCTACTCCATGCTGGTTGCCACAGAGAAGTAACAATATAATGACAGAATATTTGATTCAGTATCTGAAATTTTAGACTCTTTATTATTTAAAATAACACAGTGGTTGTCAAGGCACATTTTGCAGTGTAGTATGTGTTTATATGTATGTGTGCAAATAAACACACATATATCACAACAAATTTAATTAACTTATACTTCATGCCCAAAACAAAATCTGTAACACAGAATGATAGAATCATTTAGTCTGAAACATGAACCTCTTTGATGAGCACTTCTCAATTCTGATACATTTTATATCTTAACATTCGCAAGTAGCACTTATTTCATAGAAAGATGATTTGCAATATGCAGAACAGCAGATCAAGACTATGAAGTCCTGAATTCTGTTGGAGAAACCGTACTGTATCCTTAGCCTCCACAGAACATCCTTCTCCTCTCTTATGTATCAGTCACACAGTTCAGAACAGTCAAGGCAAAAGTAGGAACTTACAGGTATTTATTGAAATGACAGATGTGGATAAACAAAGTGCAGCAAAATACAGCTACCCTCTGCCTTTTAAAAAAATATTTCCTTTTACTCAGGAACAGAGAAAAAATAAGTAGAGAACTTACAGCATTACCAACTTTAGTTTGTAAAGTCACCTTTTAAGATATCTAAGAATAAGTGGATATCATCTGTGAAAGAGGCTGAGACAGTAACTGCCCTGAATCTTTCTTCTCCCAGGAGTAAAACGAGCCATGAGTCTACATGATTTCACTTGATAATGTATTGCTCTGTAAAGCCTGTAAGATGCCATAAGTAGTTTACTGTGACCTTTTTCTCTAACCTCTCCCTCTCAAACCTCTTTATCTCATAGGATGAAAACTGTAAGCTGGAACACATTTCACTTGAAATCAGCAATACTGTGAAGTGTATCTGGGAATGTATGAAGCACATAATCCAGAAAGATTTTGACATGAAGAATAAAGACTAAAGAGGGATAAAAGATTAAAAGAGAAAACTACTAGGTAGTAATTACAACAAAGAGCAGATGAATTATTGATCCCATTTCACTTACTTTCTAGTCATTATCAAAGAGTAAGGTTAGTTGAAGAAAATGGAAATTTTAATTACTTTGCTTTACTTTCTTTTTCTAGCTTTCAGTTGAAAGCTTTATTGTTATTTTATATTATTTGTCCCTACTTTACATAAGAAATGAACAATTGTAGAACTATTTAAAATCAAATATGCCTTACAGGATTCATTTATTTGTGTCCTCATTCATCATGTACAGCACGTCACACTGCCATTCTTCTGTGCAGAAAGAGAATCAGGTAAAATGGGAAACCTACTCTTAAAGAGGAATTCTTTTAGTGGTACACCAGAACAGTTTACGTTCATGAGTGGAAAACTGATAAATTATGAAAAAAGCAGGTAACCGTCCAAAGTATTGTGAGTAGTTGTTATGAGAAGTTATATTTATGAAAAAAACTCACTTGAAACACAGGGTGTCAGTTTGTCTGGAAGAGACAATACAGTTAGAATTTCTAGAGCTTTATAAATATAAGTGGAATTCTACCAACAGTCAGAGACACTGGCATACTAATTATTTTTTCTTTCTTTCTCATTACCAAACATCAGTTTAGCTAAAAAAGTTACAGAGGACAATTATGAGGACAATTATGAAAATTACAAGGAGAGTGCAAAAGGAAATGTGTTCCTTGTTTCATGTACATTCACAAAGAATGATTTTATCTGCACAAGTATATCCATGTGACCCTGAAGAATTGGCAGTATATTCCACCAACTAAGTGATAATGAGCTTTTACCACTGAAGTAATTTCATGAACTTACTGAAGAAACTAGTTGTCAGTCATGATGTAATTTTTAGATAAAGAACTGGATAGATATGTGAACAGCCATCCTGCTCTCTTACTTGGAAGAAACCTCCCTCGCATTTATTTTGTATAGATTGCCAATACCTTGTCAATCAAGCACTATCATTGACAACAAAAGTGTTAGTTATTTCTGGAAGTGATAATTCTAGAAATATTTCAAGGTTACTTTCAATCATAAGAGAGATATATACTATCTAAATCCTTTATACATTCTTTCAGAGTCATAGCAGAATTTCTGATTTATAAGGAAACCTTAGAGCTAGTTTGATTAGAGGAACTAATTTCAGATTTTTTTCCCCAGCACCAACATGTATTGTTAGAATGATAAATTTTACTCAAGACTAAAAACCTAAGGACTACTTACTAGTTTCTGCAAATAATGAAGCTCTCTTAGGAATTTGCAGTAATTTAGAAAACTTTCAGAATTCTTCTCATTTTGCAGAGGTACTTCCATATTTTGATACAGTTATATTAAAGTCCTTAAATTACTGATATGTTAGTCCACAAATGAGAAAAAAGTTGGGGGTTGCTTTTTGTTTTTCCCCACACAGGGGTAAGGTGTATTTAAAACAGTAAAAACAGAAAACCATGTCCTGAGAGGCATCAGGCAAAGCATCGCCAGCTGGTCGAGGGAGATGATTGTCCCACTGAGCTCCGCAATGATGCAGCCTCACCTGAAATACTGTGTGCACTTTTGGACACCACAATATAAGAAAGATATTAAGCTGTTAGAGAGTGTCCAAAAGAGGGGCCAAAAGGACAGTGAAGGGTCTTGAAGAGGAACCCATATGAGAAGAAGCTGAGGTCACTCGGTCTGTTCAGTCTGGAGAAGACCAGACTGAGGGGAGTCCTCATTGCAGTTTAAAACTTCCTTGTGAGGGGAAGAGGAGGGGCAGGCACTGACCTCTTCATTCTCATGGCTAGTGACAGGACTCGAGGAATGGCATGAAACTGAGCCAGGGGAGGTTTAGGTATAAGGAAAAGGTTTTCCACCCAGAGCATGGTTGGGCACTGGAACAGGCTCCCCAGGGAAATGGTCACAGCACCAAGCCTGACAGAGTTCAAGAAGCATTTGGACAATGCTCATACATGGTGTAATTCTTGGGGTGTCCTGCATAGGGCCAGGAGTTGGACTCAATGATACTTGTGGGTCCCTTCCAACTCAGTATATTCTGTGATTCTGTGATTTTCCCTAGTATATTAAAATACGTAAATGTTCTCAACTTCTAAAAAGTTAAAAAGAAACATTTTTTTTTTAAGGAATACTAATTTTGAATAAATATAAAAACATTATTTCAAAAATAAAAAAAAAAAATGCAGCAACTTCCTAAGATGATTTTTATCACATAAAAAAGAGTTTGGAGAAGGTGAGATAAACTTACAGTGATAAATCTATGGAATATTTGTAGGACAAAAATTTAACTCAGTAGTAGACCTAACATTTTCAAAGTCTAACCATATTATATATGCTCACCATAAGCCATGGAAAATCTCCCTTCAGAAGAATTCTGTATGCCTTTGCATTTGACCTGACAATTTCTAAAGCACTGCATATCCCAGATTGCATAAAAGGCATGACCAGGCACCATTAAAAAGATTTGCTTATTCTCTTTATCACTCTTTATGATGTGTTTTATTTCCAGAGGCTATACTGACTATTCAAGATGCATGTGCTTTTTTATCCCCAAAGCCCTAGATTTTTAATATTTTTGAAATCTTCCACAAAGCTCTAGATTTCAGGCATAGGAGTTCACATAATTTTATCTAGTTAATTTTGCTAGTTAAAAATGAATAGTAGAAACACAATGTGTTGATACAGATGTTGAGTGGATTAAATAA